CCCATTCAAACTTATGCTAATGCAGAGGCACACTTAGTTTGGTTATTTTATTGGAAAATATAAAAACTATTGCACATTAAACAGAAATGTCAAAAAATTGTGTTATAATGGACCTTGTGCTGTGCAAGGATTTTTGGAGACATCTGAAGCATTCCTCAGCCTGTGCTGACAAGTATCGTTGAATGTTTCTGCAGAGTTTCAGTATTAGAGGCTTGAAGGCAAAGCCAGAAACAAGTTTAACAGTCAGGTAGAAGGTGAATGTTTCAAATAGTCATTTTTAATATTAAAATACTCATGTATACTTAATTTGCAGAGACAACTACAAGCACTGTATACTTAAACCATTCATAGTGTCTTTTATATAAGTTCTCTATTAAGTTCTGAAAAGTCCTGTATTTTCTCAGTATTTTCAATCACTTTAGGCCCTTTATTTAACATATGGATGCACAATATATTAGTATCATTCAGTATACAAGATATTTTTTAATTGCTTGTGCTTATTTACCCTTGCTGTTATCTAAGACATGTTAAATTAAATCTTTAAAACATTAATAATTTAATAAGACTGTTAAATGTAATCTTTAGCCCATCTAAAATGTAATATTCATTTTTCATATACATTATGATGCTGGGATTATTAGTAGCAGCATTTAAAATGATTGATTTAGTTTCCTTTTTTGTTACTTTAGTTCATAATCAGTCATATTGTCAACTGTGACATGAAAAAATGTTTTGTGTGTTTTGACAGAAAAATTTTTTTCTTGCAGCTCATTTCATGTACGGTATACACTTCTCAGAACACTAAAACTTGACTAAGTGCATATTGAAGGAGCTCTTCATCTTCCTTTCATTCTTCTTTCATTCTGCATTCTTTTAAAATGCTTTTTATTAAAGGGACATCTATAGGAAAATTCTTTCCACAAGTGATTATTTAGCAAACATAAATGTAGCAAAAACGAATCTACACAAAAACAACTGATGGGTGCACAGTTCATTTTCTTATGTACAAGACTGATATTAGCATACAGTTGTACTCAAGTGTACGAAGTGTATGTTAATGCAATTTTTAAACACAGGACTTTTTCTTCACTTCATTTATTCCCATTATTTAATTTAGGCCAGTCCGCAGAATCTGTTTAATGCAGGAGCTGAACGCACAAACTTCACTCCACCCAGTAGTAAATGTTATTTTATTTCATGAAGACAGTTATTAGTTCATAAGGCCATGTTCTTGTGAATGATTGTAACCATATTTGGAAATTAATCTCAAAGACTTGGGTGTGGACAAGAAAAAGGGGTGTGGTCTGAAAAGGTGGGACCCATCTGACTCACTAATGATTGGTGGGCTTTCATGAAAAGGAAGATATCCCTTGTTTCAGCACAATGAATATGACTATGTCTGAGCAAGCACTCAACTCTCAGATTTCAGCTCAAGAGCTGCTCTGCCTTTTAACGCCATCATAAACTACAGAAGACTCCTATGAAAACATAGGAGACATTATAATAGTCATATAGAGTAAAGCTGTAAAAATATGTGGCTTCAGTCTTTCATCGTAGCCTAGTTTCACTGATTATTTTGTATGATGCACACAATATGAAATGCTACTGGAAATATGAGTGTAATCCTGTTTTTGCAAGTTTGTTGCCATAACTTTTTATCATGCCCTTTTAATCATTGCAAACAAAAACTCTGTGTTTTTATTCGACTAAACAGTCAAAAAAACTCAACGCATGGAAGTTATGTAATAAATTACAGACAAATTATCAATTAAATGTATGAAACAAGTTCAACAGTGGAAGTTGCAACCTAGTGTACAAGACAGTAAAAAGTCACTCCAGTGGATATGTGCATAAATAAATCAGGATCTGGACAAATTTCAAGCATTGCGTTATTGGCAATGTTGGGCCCCACCTAATGTGTAGAACGAAATTAAAGCTTTCATGTCTAGACAATCCAAAATGCAGTATGACTAACCAACCAATGATTCACTTTTCTTTGTTGCACTGTGTGGTGATGCCACACAAAGCCTGAATTAAACCATGTCCATATTGTACCATTTCTATGGTTCTTCATTACTGTTGCTTGCTGGACTGTACAGTTTTATATCAGTCAGATTTTGGGTAAAAACAAAAGGCACAAGCCATGAAAAGCTACTCATTTAGAGCTTGCTCTTTAGAGAAATATCTTAAAATGTATGAAACAATGCCTATTGCAGGGATGAAGACAGTGGACAAAAAAATAGTTGTGGCTACTAAGGTTGGGCCAACTTCACTGAGGCCTTACTAAGGAAGACACTGCCAAATAAGCTCAACGCCAACTGAAAATGTCAACTGTCAATTCAATCGATAGAAACACTTTTGATTTTGTTCACCCCTTCTCTTTCCTGCAGCAGGCAATGTGAATTAACACCAGGTTTAATCCATTATCACAAACAACGAGTCTTTTGTTGCATTTGGGAGAGCAAGGATGTGAATAAATTGGAAGCTGAAACATTATTCATCATTATTATGATGAAACTGAAGCATTATGTGATGTTAAAGATATGCCAACCTAGTTTGATGTACCATTTTCTTGGCTATTTGTAGGAAGGGCTATGGTTTGTTATTGTAAAAACATGGTGCAATGAGAAAATACAGAGTGTGCTTCAAATGTGCCTCCTGCAATCATAGAGTCCGTTTTACAATATTAGTTTTCTTGGATTTTAACCCAAATGATATACAATATCTTGTCCAAGTTATTGTTGTTGCTGCACAATTTAAATTGTGTTTTGCCCTGTTAAAGTGTTTTCCCTATCATTATAGGTCAGTAAAGTAAAAATTAATACTATTTCATCTAAATAAATAAAACAGGAAAAAAAGCAATCATTTTAAATGCTATCAAATGAATTTAGTCATCACAAAATTATAGTGTTCAGTATGAAAATTCTCAAAATATTTATTGAGATTACATTTAACAGTGTTAAGATTAACTGTAAATAAGCATTAGACAACAAAAAAAGGTATTCCTAAATATAAAAATTTAGTAAATTAGCATTCAAAATTAATATCAACTGATATATATAGCATATCGAATGATACATAACAATAAAAAATAAATAAATAAATGGAACTTTGATACTATTTTTACTTCTTAACCCTAGACTGGGACTGACCCTCTATACTTTTATATTTCAGTAATAAAGTCATTGGCATTAATATACACTTACAATATTTATTGATCACACCAATTGGCTCCACTTAGATATTTCGGCCATTATAGATACTGTCAATATGATTTATTGTATTGCCTGCTATTTATATTATTTTATATTATGCCTGCTATATACAGTATATGTATATATATAATTTTTGGTTGTCTCTAAAAGGAAGTTTAGTAGTTCAAATAACTGATCTGAATAACCAAAACTTTTGACCAATGTTCTCATATGTCCCAATGAAAATATGTTACACCAACAGTTGCACCCTAAATGCACTACTCTTTCATCTTAAATGAAAAAGTGGTTGTTATGAGAGTGATTAAAAATATATAACACCAGAGTCACAAGAACTAAATACAATTGAATACACAAATTTCACACATGGCCAAGCTAAACGCACATCTGTGGAAAATGTTAAATTCATGTGTTTTTCTCTAATCACATAAAAATTAAATTGATTTCTGTAGAGGATGCTTCGAGACATCTCACAATCCAACCCCCCACATTGTATAACTTGTATCACCTGACAGATTGCCTTATACACATTCAAATGTGGTGAAACTCCACCAAAACCCTGACATCTGACAAAGACTTGACAGTATTACTGTTCAGATCAATGGAGTAACAATAGGCTGTACCATTTTAAGAAAAATCCACTGGGGGCCAAATACCAGGAAAACAATGTTTGTTAATCAAGTGACTCCTCCTGAATTTCTACAGACAAATATGTCTAATTTTCCTCTCAGTGACAAGGGGCTATGTTTATAGAGGTCCCGGTTAATGTTCTAGCATTCTCACGTTAATAAACCTGACAGACTGAATCTATTCCTGCTGTGCACTTCACTTTATCTGATTAACTAAAGTGAGTGAGTTTTCTAAATTAATCTTTCAGACCTGTCCACTTCCCAAGTCTACAGAACCACACTGACTGTTTGAACATGATAGGGGCGATACTGACATGCTAACAAAAGCAGCACGTGTTGCTAAATAATGCCACCTAAGGACAGCTACAAAAATAACCACACTGATGCAGCCACCATTCTCTGTTCTGAGTTCTAATACTCACCTATAACAATCCAAACTAAAGTTAAAATCTAGTATGCTAAAGCAAACAAAGCTGTTAACATTCCCAATAAAGTTTGTGCTATGTGTTTTAATATGAGGTAACATAAAAATCTACTTTGCATGCAACTGCGACAACCCTCTGGGAACCACAGAACAAGGTAGTGAAGTAGTGTCCGTGAAAGAGCCATTGAGGTGAGAGAACAGAAGCTTGATTGTTTGACTGGAAAGAGAAGCCTGTGGGTCACAATGGCTTCCAGGATGAGCGCCAAGCTTCAACATTTAAGCCCTTCATCAAATATTCCCCTATGTAATACTCCTGCATGAAACTTAAAGCAAACAGAGAGCCCTGAATCTCCCAAAATCATGAAATATGTATGGAGTTGTATAGTTTGCCATGCACCAAGTTTACAGAATGCCATCTGGTTATTTAACTAAGGTGCAGAGCACTAGTAAAATATAAAGGTTTTGTAGTATATGCAAGAAGAGGGTGTGCTGAATTCTGGTAACCTTGTTTTTCTACTCCCGGTTTGTCTCCTAATTTCTCCACTTTATGTGAGAGAGTGTGCATAAAAATCAGGGTGTGACCAGGCCTTCTCTGCTGAAAGCGCTCCCATACCAGCCCAGCAAGATGGGTGTATGTATCATTTGGACGGGGACGAAAGGCAGGACAGGAGCCTGAGGCCGAAAGGGGAGTGGTCAGGTGAGCCCCTCCCGTAGCATAAGAGGTATAAAAGCTGCTGCACTCCTTGAAGAAGGCACTCAGAGGGATTTAACTTTCCTCTTAGTGAGCTCTCCTGCTCTGGATCTCTCTGTCTCATCCTGCTCTTTCTCTCTCTAAACCTCACCCCTTCATAGACGACAGCAGCCATGTCTTCAATCAAAACCACTACTTACAGCGTCAGCGGTGGAAGCATGAGTGGCGGCATGGGTGGAGGTATCAGGAAGAGCTTCTCTAGCATGTCTGCCAGCGCAGCACCCATTGGCAGCAGGATGAGCTCTGTTTCATTCCGTCGCTCCGGCGGTGGCGGTGGCGGTGGCGGTAGTGGCTTTGGCGGAGGATCTGGAGCAAGCTACAGCTACAGCATTGGCGGCGGTGGCTATGGAGGAGGTCTCGGAGGAGGTTACGGAGGAGGTCTCGGAGGAGGTTATGGCGGTGGTGCAGGATTCGGCGGTGGTGCAGGATTCGGCGGTGGTTCAGGATTCGGCGGTGGTGCAGGATTCGGTGGTGGTGCAGGATTTGGTCTAGGTGGAGGGTACCCTGGTGGTATGGCACCCATCACAGCTGTCACAGTCAACCAGAGCCTCTTAGCCCCACTGAACCTAGAAATCGACCCCAACATCCAAGTTGTCCGCACCCAGGAGAAAGAGCAGATCAAGAACCTCAACAACCGCTTTGCTTCCTTCATTGACAAGGTTAGTCTTCTTCTTGCAAGCATACACAGTTGTACAACACAACAATCTCATTTTGCACCTCCAACATTTTGACTTTTCATTTGAATGTTGGATTTTCATGCACACATTTCAAGGGCCTTCATATGAGCTGAGTTCTTCTCATTAAATATTTCACAACCAGTCACTTGCACCTGGAAATCCTCCTAGTGTCAGATTCTGTATAACGGTAAGCACATAGGAGACAGGCTGGCATTGCATATGCCATATTTTGCATCATTATCACTACATTTCAGTCAAGCAGTCAAAGTCTATATCTTAGCACAGGCTTGAGTTTTTTTTCCTTGTATGCAATTGTTCTCAGACAGTCAGGGTGAATTTGGAAACCCAAGCCAGGTGAGATCCAATGACTAGGCCAATCCAAATAAGGGCAAGGATCAAGTTTGCCCTCTATCCCTATGGCAGCAATGCAGATGTGTGTGTGTGTGTGTGTCTGCAACAGATGAGCACCGTCTTTAACACTCTTACTCAATGCAATACCTGTCATAAAAATGGCCCTAAAAGTAGCTTTATGTAGGTCATAATAATAATTTTATCCTAAACAAAACAAGTTTCCTGTTTTGATTCTCCAACACCTTTGGGGAATTCACCATGTAACCACACCTTGTAAATTTCACCCCCTAACCTAGGTGCTACGCCCATTTGTATGATTCTGTCAAGAGATATTATCAGCAATCATGTAGCTCACATAACTCTTCTGATGTCATTGATGCTTTGTTCTTTTTATGTGAATCATGCAAGTTCAAAGTCATTTTGAGATTTTGCACAAAATTAATTGCATGGCATAAATGTGCAGGAGGGTGGGAACAGTTAGTACCTGAGGGTAAGGTGTGCCATATCATCTCTGTTAAGGCCTGCAGCTTGGCACAGGTCTCCTAGGAGCCTCGCCTTAATGCCTGGAGGGAAACATTGTTTTGGGAGCATAAATTGGAGCATAGAGAGTCTGAACATGTTGTGGTGTCACTTGAGGTTAGCATTTCATTATCTCCAAAGGGGAGTGTGCATATTAAGAAGACAGTTACTCCACGAAAACTGTGCTGGCCAACAAGGCATGGCACATATGCTAATAAATTCCTCTAAATGTGCCAAAGGTGTGTCCCCGCAAGTCCTGATATGCAATAAGAGGCGTGTTTGATAATTACTGTGAAAGACTTATCTTGTGGCATGAGTAATGATGTCCTAATAAAGTCACTTATTCAGATCGTTTATTGGTTTATCTCCAACACAGGTGCGCTTCCTGGAACAGCAGAACAAAGTACTCGAGACAAAATGGAGTTTACTGCAGGACCAGACCACTACCCGCTCCAACATCGACGCCATGTTCGAGGCCTACATCGCCAACCTGCGCAGACAGCTTGACGGACTTGGTAATGAGAAGATGAAGCTAGAAGGAGAGCTAAACAACATGCAGAACTTGGTAGAAGACTTCAAGAACAAGTGAGTAGCTGTGCAAGAGCAGGTTTATAGTCTATGAATTACGCTTTGTGTGCATGGTATAATTTGACAAGCAATGTGCTAAAAGTGGAAAACTTATCTTTGCAGATATGAGGATGAAATCAACAAGCGTGCCTCAGTGGAAAATGAATTTGTCCTGCTCAAGAAGGTAAAACACTTCACTGCTGTCTTGATTCTCTAGTTATATTTTGCAATTCTTTTCATTGTAAATCTGTAAAGGCCACATATTATATTGAGCTTTGTACATGTCTTCATAGGATGTTGATGCCGCCTACATGAACAAAGTTGAGCTTGAGGCCAAGGTTGATTCTCTTCAAGATGAAATCAACTTCCTCAGGGCCATCTTTGAAGAGGTGAGAGTTGATTCAAATTATATTACCACTGAGATGCTAGTTTTTAGTGTTAGGTGCATCTCAAACCTTCACCTTGCAATTTTAGGAGCTGCGTGATCTCCAGGGACAGATCAAAGACACATCAGTCATTGTGGAAATGGACAACAGTCGCAACCTGGACATGGATTCCATCGTTGCTGAGGTCCGTGCACAGTATGAGGACATCGCCAACCGCAGCCGCGCTGAGGCTGAGTCGTGGTACAAACAGAAAGTAAGAAAAGACGTTCAAGCATCAAACCAACACTATCTTGAAGCAATCAACTGACAGATTCTAATCACAATGACTCTCTTTTCACCACCTAGTTCGAGGAGATGCAGTCATCTGCCGGCAAACACGGAGACGACCTTCGCAGCACCAAACAGGAGATTGCAGAGCTCAACCGCATGATCAGCAGACTTCAGAATGAAATTGAAGCTGTCAAGGGACAAGTAAGAATTTTGTTAGTCTTTGGATGCTTTTGGATGAGATTTTAACCTGAATTAGATTGTCAACCAAATCCTTAGTACGAAATGTACTTTCAAAGAAAGATTTGTACTTTCAATGATCAAAATTTGCATGTTACGTTGAAAATAACATGATGTAAATGAGTCTCTGAGGACAAGAATAATGTAAAAGTGTTGCTGAAAACTAAAGTCATAATGTCTTCTTTGAACTGCTCAGCGTGCCAACCTGGAAGCTCAGATCGCTGAGGCTGAGGAGCGTGGAGAACTGGCAGTGAAGGATGCCAAGCTCCGCATTAAGGAACTGGAAGAAGCCCTGCAAAGAGCAAAGCAGGATATGGCGCGCCAGGTGCGTGAGTACCAGGAGCTCATGAATGTCAAACTGGCCTTGGACATTGAGATTGCCACCTACAGGAAACTTCTGGAAGGAGAGGAGAGCAGGTCAGTCTCTTTGCTATTTTGAAAGTATTTTTTTTCTGTTTAAATTTGTCTTTATATTTACATTTATTTTCTTTGTCAGGATTGCTTCTGGTGGTGGCTCTGCAACTATCCACATCCAGGAGTCAAGCAGCAGCGGTAAGCGTATTATCTTTTCCTATCATGACCTTAGAAAAAAAATCATATAATTTGCTGTAAAAACTGCATTGGTGTTCAGTAAAACTAATGTCTCTGTTTTTTGGTTCTCAGGTGGTGGCGGCGGCGGCGGCGGCGGCGGCTTCGGATTCGGTGGTGGTGCCGGATACGGTGGTGGTTCTGGATACGGTGGTGGTTCTGGATACGGTGGTGGTTCTGGATATGGTGGTGGTGCCGGATATGGTGGTGGCAGTGGCTTCAGCAGTGGCAGCGGCTATGGATATGGTGGTGGCTCAGGGATGTCCATCGGCGGCGGTGGTGGCGGCAGCAGCCAAGTCTCAATTTCCCGCTCTGTGGTGCAGAGCCAGAAGCGCCGCTTGTAAACCAAAAACTTCCACCCAGTTACCCACTCCCAAATATCATCCACCACCTGGGCAACTCCTACCTTTTTCACTCCACATTTCAATGCTTCTTACCTTTTTGATGAATTTAAGCCCCAAAAACCACTGTCACCCAAAGAGACTTTCATGTCAAAGTGTTATATCAGAATGGCTTTTCACACTCACTGTGTTGTCTTTGATTTTAGTTTTTGCCTCTTGGCATCACTCCTCATCCAGAGTACAAATTGTCCTTGAGTGGATGCACAATGAGAAATGAGCTAATGAGACAGACAAAGCATGGAGCTCAAGTACTTCTTCAGGGTGAATAGCTTTTGTTGCTCTATGTCACGACATGCAAGAATTAAACACACAAAATTAATTCTTTTTCAGCTGACTCAGAATTCTGCGTCACTACAACCAGCATTGTTAATGCTTCTGCTGCATACTCATAGTGCAACAAAATCTACTCAATTGAGATTGTACTGCCCTCAGAGAGGGGTAACTGTGAGGCAAATCTCAGTTATTACCCAACTTTTACTCTTTCCTTTTCCTGATTTTGGATGATGGGCTGATGAGCTGTTCTTACGTCAAAATTTTTGTATTCATCAAGCCATGTACCACTTGGAAACACCAATAAATCAGGGTTACATAAAATCATTTGTCTTCAGTTATTTCTTTAACCTTTCTTTTTTTACACAACATAGGAATACACAAATGCAACAAAAAATGACCATTTAATTATCACTGCTATAGAGATATTTGGGTAAATGGCATGCAAGAGTGTCCACAATAAAGTAAAGGGGAAGGAAAGTAATTTATGGTTTTGAAAAACTTATAGACCAATTTCAAGAAAAAGTTTAAATTTAATGACCCTAAAAAAAGTAATAACAATAACATATTTGACTTGCATCTTTTTTTTTCTTGAATGTTGCGAATGAATTAATAAATGTCATTACATTTTTGGTGAGAATTACATTAATTTGTGATTTTTTTTGTTTTTCTAAGAAATATTAATAGAAGAACATTCCAAATACTTAGTAAGGTTTTCTTTTAAAAATGTCATTCTTTTAATGCGCTGTTTTTTTCCATATTATCCTGATAATTTTAACCCATATTTCGAATTCACACTAGCAAACATAATATTCATATTGAAGTCAAATTAGCTAGCATCCATTTAACATGGATCACAACTAACAAAAAGTACCAAAAGATTAAAAATATGCACCAAGGTAATACCACAGTATTCTTTGTTCTTTGTTTAGTTCTTTGGTTTTTGTAATCGACAAACCTGTAAGGCTAGTAATTATTAATACAATTAATTAAGAATAAGCATAAAATAATATTACATTGGGAAACAAGGACATAGCCCATATCTTACCTTCAAGATCAAAGTAAATGTTTGAGACTGTGGGAAACAAATGTAAAAAGATTTAAAATTTAAAAATTAAAAACTCATACTGATCCACCACTGTTCTGAATATTGACAGCATTGTTAGGATATTGGTGAGGGAAAAATACACACTTATTCTTGTGATGTTCGCCTCAAGATTAGAAAGGGCAACAGGCACAGAGCACTGGCTAAAACATGAGGGAAAAAAAAGTACCAACTCTTCAGAGACTTAAATAACGCTGTTAAATGTGCACTACACATTAAACATTTGTTGGCTAAACAGATAAATACTACCCAACCACTATTCAATCGCATTCCCATGAGACCTAAAAACCACACCTGACCAGGCAGTGCCAAAATATCGGGTTACAACAGGCAAACTACGCTTCCATTCAGTGAGGGTTTAGCTGGCAGGTCAGTTAGTATTCCTTATACTACTTAAAGTACAATTCTGTTGTTGTTTAAGTGGATGAACCTGATAGCAATTGTCCTGTGAGAGATACCAACCTCTGTCAAAGCAGATGATTGATTTACCAGAGTGAAGAAGACCTGATAAATGACAGAGCATGCCAAAAACCAATACAAGGTACCTGATACACATTTTTGGTACACTGTCATCCAGCAGATCCTAAATATATTCCTTTAACGGTGCAGCAGGAAACTTCGAAGAAGACTGGCACGTTTGAACAGAGATTTAAGGTAACTTAAGATACTAACTTTACCTACCAAATACCGTCCCCTAACGGTAAACTATTATTTTAACGTCTAACTAACATCCAATGGTTTGCTATAAAATACTATAAATACTATAAAAGTTCATATTAAACGTCAATATAATATAATATAATTAAGAACAAAGAACGTCCACAAAAAATCTTTTATTTTTTTTACACTTTTATCTTTCCTCACTAACAATAACAACAGGTTTTAAAGACATCTAGCCAATGGCATTTGACAAAAAAGCGAACAATCGTCCATCAGTGTCTTTAATTCTGTGGAGTGCTGTTCTCTCGATGTGAATATGAGGTATTATGTTGCAGTCACTCTGGGGTTGTCTGGGTCAAATGTCATGATCTCCATGTGGATCAGACCTGTGAGACATGAAAAGGCAGAATAGCATTAAAAAATATAAATTATGTCAATGCCAACATAAGAATTTAGAAATGTTTCAGAGCAGATTAAACAGAATGGCAGAGTACAGAATGCATTTTAAATGTTAAATGAGATGGAGTTTTATATGTATGTTTGTGTGTATGTGCTCTCACTCTTCCATTCGCTGACAGCCAGATCCAGACTCTCAAAGGAATCATCATATGCAGGAGACACAGGCTCATTTTCAGGGTCGTGGAACTCAGAAAGATATGGATGCAAAAGACCGTTTTTTGCCGTAAGTCTGACCTCCGAGTCTAAAACCAGCATGCCTTCCAACAGGCCGATGGCTGTAAATAGAGCACACATTAAATCAAGCTGAATTACAGTAAAGAATACATTAGATGGGAAATCTTGTCAAGACAAACATTATTATCGGCTTTACAAAGCCTTGTTTGAGAGTTTAGAATATTATTAAATGCTTAAAGCTTTGTCAAGCAATAATAATAATTATGGCTATCATAGTAATATAGTAGCTAATGTAGTAGTCTACCACTAGATGGTGAAATTTCCTCATTCAAAATCTATGCAAAATCACACAAATGCGTTTGTGACAAACGGGGACAGTTCACCCAACAATGAAAATGTGCTTAAAATTGACCTCTGCGCTAAATGGGTGCCATCAGAATGAGAGACCGAACAGCTGATAAAAACATCACAGTAATCCACAATTAATCCATACGACTCCAATCCATCAGTTAATGTCTCTGTTTGTAAGAAAAAAAAACATTGGACTGTTTTCGTTGTAAACGGTGCTTAATCTGTACATATTTCTCCTTTTTTACTGGATAAAGCAGTGGTAGAGTACTTGTATTTTAGCCTAAAACAATGGTTTGAAGGTAAAAATGTCTTAATAATTTATTTGTTTATTAAAAACATGAAGCTTTTTGCTTCACGAGACGTTAACTGATGGACTGGAGTCATGTGGATTATTGTGATGTTTTTATCAGCGGTTTGGATGGCACCCATTCACTGCAGAGCATCCACTTGGTGAGCAAGTGATGTAAGGCTACATTTCTCCAAATCTGTTCCAATGCAGAAACAAACTCATCTACATCTTGGATGGCCTAAGGGTGAAATTGATTTGGGAGTTGTGGACATACCATTAGGATCCATACCAGAAAAGACCTCTTTGAAGGCCTTTTTCTTTTGTACTGGAAGTGAGCGGACATATGATTGTGCCTGCAAACACATCAAAACAATAATGGAAAAATAGACTCAAGAATCACATGTTCCTAAAATAGGCAGTAAGAGTTGTCTGATGGTATTTGCCTACATCTTTGCTTTGCATTTTCTGAACAAGCGTTGAGCTTGGTGTGCCTGTCAAGTTGAGGATCTTCTTCAGCTGATCAATACCTTCACATAGCGTTAAAGAATAGGCACTCCTTTGGTCGACAGATATACTTAAAAAGCGAGGAAAGAGAAAGGATACTGTCAGTGCCTGGGAAAAGCACCTTTCCTGTTATCATCTCAGCCAGGATGCAGCCAGCAGACCAAACATCAACTGAGAACAGAACAGAACTGAGTGACAGAAGACTAGATACAACAGAACAACAGAACAGAAAATGACCCATCCACAAAAGACACAATAGAAAAAAATAGGGTCAACCTCTTACTTTTTAAATCACCTTGTACACAATGTGTTGGGTCAAAGGTCACCTGTTTGAGTGTAATGCATCCAGTTGAAAATGACTTCAGGGGCTCTGTACCAGCGTGTCACCACATAGCCCGTCATCTCAGTTTCAGCGTGTCTCGCCAGTCCAAAGTCCAGGATCTAACAAAGAGTGTCAGAAAGCAGGCCACATTGAAAATGACAAAAGGTTTCAGGAGTGAAACAAATGATCATTTGTTCATAATATTATTTGTAATATTTTACAATTATTTTGCTGGTCATTAATTCTATCATCATTTACTTTCACTTTGCTATGTTACCTTTAATTCACAGTTTTCATCCACTGCAAGGTTACTAGGCTTAAGATCCTGAAATAAGACATCAGTGATCTCTGTCATTTCATCATGTATATCATCGAATGTGTTTACATGCACATGCATATTCCAATAGGGCTATTAATCAGATTTTGGCCATATTGTGAAGTATAATGTAAATACGTGGAACTAACATTTTATTCGCATTTTTTTAAAATATAAAAAAAAACATCATGGCCTGCATTTGTAGTAATCTCATTATTAACATTTTGCATTTAATCATGCTATTAAATTAATCAAAATTGACAGTAAAGACAGTAAAGTTTAAATGCTGTTCTTTTGAACTTTCTATTCATTAAAGTATCCCGGTCCCACTTTATATTAAGTGGCCTTAACTACTATGTACTTACATCAAAAAATAAGTTCATTGTACTTATTGTGTTCATATTGTATTGCAAAACACTGCTGGGTAAGGTTAGGGACAGGTTTGGTGGTATGGGTCGGTTTAAGGGCGAGTTAAGGTGTAAGGGATGTGTCAACAGTGTAATTATAAATGTAATTACAGATGTAATTACATGCAGGTATTTTTTAAATATAAGTACAATGTAAAATCATGTATGTACACAATGTATGTACACAATAAGTGCATTGTACCAAATGATTAATTTTAATGTAAGTACATAATAGTTAAGGCCACTTAATATAAAGTGGGACCAGTATCCCGGGGAAAAATTATCACAGTTTCACAAAAATATTAAGCAGCACAACTGTTTTCAGCATTGACAATCATCTGAAATGTTTCTTGAGCAGCAAATCAGCATATTAGAATGATTTCTGAAGGATCATGTGACACTGAAGACTGGAATAATGGTGCTGAAAATTCAGCTTTGCATCACATGAATACATTTCATTGCAAATATTTTCAGATAGCAGAAATGTCATTTTAAATTGTAATAATATTTAACAATTTCATATTATTGATCTTATTTTTGAACATGACAGACTTCTTTCATAAACATTAAAAAATCTTACAGACCCCAAACATTTGAACACTAGTATTTAAATACTGTAAGATTTATTGTACATACCCGATGTATGATCCCAGCAGAATGGATGTACTAAGGAAAAAAGTTTCAGTTACTATTTAGATGCAATATCATTCAATATTCAATATCATCAATAAGT